AATATTTAGTTGTACTTTGAGTCATAGTACAGGTTATGAAAAAAAAAAATGTTTGAGAAATTTCATGAAGCCTGTTATACTTTAATATTGTCTTCTGTTAACTAGTACATGTACATGTCGTACATGTACCAGCACTGGATTCTCTGAACCTGACCTGGTGGGAATGGAGAGAGGCACGGTAGCCTTAAGGGTAGGCTGCTGGACTCCTGATCAAGCAGTCTGGGTTTGAGCCCTGGCTAGGGTCATTGTGTTGTTTTCTTAGGTAAGACACAATTTAATCTCACAGTGCCTTTCTCTGCTTGCAAGTTTAATGCTGGAAGTAACCCTGCAGTAGACTAGCATGCCATACTGGGGAAAGTAGAGATAGTCATAGTTGCTTCATGCTACAGAAACTGGAGTCAAGCACGGTGGCCTGATGAACCACTTAAGGCCTGAATGCAGACCTCACATTACTCTTCTGGCAGTGAAGTAAATTTATATGTTTGCAATTAGAGATGACAATATCATAGATTTCATTTGATTACTGTGATAATTAAATTTAGCATCTGGGACGCCAAGTTTTACTTTTTGTAATTCAAGACAGGGTGCTTATTAGAAATGTAGGCCTAGTGGTATAAAATGTTTATTAGGTAATGAATCATACCGCAAAAATGGCAGGCACTTCTATCATACTGACAATTTATAAGACTAGTGATTTCAACTTGGTATGCTTAATATGTTAATTACAGATCTGGCTGGTTTCCTGCTGGTAATATACTGAACAAGTTCTTGATGTTTACAACTGGGTAAGTTTCAAATGGGATTTTTCATGGCAAATGGTTTTTCACAGCTTTGTATATACTTATTACATGGCAAACTTACCCACAAGAGAGAATAATTATTCTGATTGGTTCCCTGAAAAGCCCACATTTTACAATATAGACCCCTAATAATAAGGTGGCCAATCATGAATTACAATATAGTTTCAGAGCATTGTGTTTCATAATCATTGAAAGTGGCCTGAAAAACACTAATATATGCTTGATTCTGATTTGTGTTTACCAAGATCTGATGCGTCATACATCAAGCTCAAAGTGTGGTTGTCCATAGAGGTTGCTGTAGTGGAAGCTTAAGAGAACAAGAAGTGTCGTGGTAACACAAGCATTGAGCCAGTGCTTGAACCCTTGAGACAAAATAATTGTCATTCACCGAGGAATAGAAAAATAAAGAACTAATTAAAAACCTTTTATTAATTGAATTAATTGTATCATATGCTTCTTTTGTAGTCCGACTGTAAGTCATACATTGCCTGCCAGTGGATTGCATCTTCATCCTCCATTAGAGACCAACACTAATCGCAAGTCGTTAACGCGTTATGCAAGTGAAGAACCTGCTGCCTGCATGCATTTCCCTCCACCAGACGTATCCTGGTGACTTGGAGAACAAATTAGAAGCTATTAGTGATCATGTACCGTCTGTGGACACTCTTGACCAACCAGGTATTTGGCAACTCTACAGATGGTAAATGTTGGTAAAAGTTATTCTGTTAGTTGGAGTTGACCCAATTAAATTTTGATCTCCAACACAATTTCTTTTGAAAAATCATTCTTAAAGCTGTAAAAGGGCTAAAACAGCCATTTCCATGTAGTCTATTTCTTTGTTAATGTTTACCCTCATATTTGCAGAGGTTAAGTTCGGACTTAGTCAAGCTTGGAGGTCAGCTTATAAGACCATAAATAGCTCCAGTCTGACACT